TGTCTGGTGTGGTGTTCTCGTGGCCCACTCCCGAGCCTTGGGGTGCACTGGAGCTGAATCCGGCTGCTGCAGAGTTCATCCCGCGGATGGATGGGGACATCCCAGTGCGGGATGAGCCTCTATGGGAGACTGAGAATAAGCAGGAAGACTCTATGACACTTGGGGTAGCCGAGGAGAATGTGGATGCCAGGGATAAGGGAGATGTGGACAATTGTTCAGATGTCGGTTCTGCTGGGGAAACGGAAGGGATCAATGTGTATCCACGGAGACAGAGAAAGAAACCGCAGATTTTAGCATACAATACATTGGGACAGCCAAGTTTCACTGAGAGGGCAGTAGCCGCTCAAGAGTTAAATGTTAATAGTTATTGGCGGCCTTGGTAAAAAAAAAAAAAAAAAAAAAAAAAAAAAAAAACAGCATAAACTTCCCCATAAGACTGTACCAAATGTACTGGATAAATCTTTTGACATTGAATTGACATAGGAACTGATGGCCGACTATGTACTGTGGAAAAGAAATGTTTTCTTTTGGAACATGTAAGAAAGCATTTTCTGCTTCAAATTGGGTCTCTGGATATGGATTTGGGTACAATTACCTATGGGACGGATAACTAAGACTGAACGATATTCAGGGGTACACATGACTACAGTGCACGGTAGTTGTGGGTAACTTTTAAAAACAAATAAAAAGGGGGAACCTTTGTAAAATGTCCATTTCATATCATTTGATAATAAAGGGAAGGTAAAATTTTATCTTAAGAAGGTACGTTTATTTTGTGTCGGGACGACATCTAATAGTGGGGGAGAGTGTGAGAGACTTGATTAATGACTTTACAGTTACGCATGATTGTGATGAATTAGTGTACCCTTGTTCTTGTTGTTTTGAATTCTGATTGTTCTTGTTGTTTTGAATTCTGATTGTTGTTGTTTTTGCGAGATGTATTTGAACGCCCCGCACAGTTTCTTGGTACGTGCCTTGAACTAGACTGACGTGTGTTTTTTGTTTTGGACCGCGGCTAGGCACGGTATGGGAGCGGGGACTGTTACAGCCGATTTAAAAAAAAATTGTGTGTGGCTTTGTAATAAATATCCCCTGTGGAAGAGAACGGAGTCGTTTTTGTGCCTAAAGATCTGTAACACATAGATCAGAAAAAATGTGTAACATAGGCCCTTTAAAATCTGACCTAGTTTTGAGACAATATGACAAACGCAGAGGTAATTTCTGTTAACCGTTACCTAGCAACCATAAAGGAAACAAGAGCCATAACTTGCCCATATTATATAATAGTTATGATTAAACTAATAAGTATAAATTACCACACCTTTTTTTGTAAAGTCAGTGTTTCATCTGCCGGAAAAAAATGCCTTCCTTGTAAGTAAACTGTTTTTGCCTTTTAGTTGGAATTTTCAGATGACATTGCATCATTCTATAGACAGTGTTGGGGAGTAACAGATTACATGTACCAGAGTTACGTAATCAGAGTACAAATTATGAGTAACTGTATTCAGTTACAGTTACTGTTTCAGTGAGATTTTCCTGTTTTCACATTTCGGGGTATTCCCTTTTTCCCCCCAGTAATTCCACTCATTGCCGGATACTAAACCAGGTCTAAAACCAGGTCTAAAACCAGGTCTAAAACCAGGTCCAAACCAGGTCTAAACCCAGGTCCAAACCAGGTCTAAACCAGGTCTAAAACCAGGTCTAAACAAGGTCTAAAACCAGGTCTAAACCAGGACAAAAGCAGGACTAAATCCAGGTCCAAACCAGGTCTAAACCAGGTCTAAACTAGGTCTAAACCATGACTAAACCAGGACTAAACCAGGACAAAAGCAGGACTAAAACCAGGTCCAAACCAGCTCTAAACCAGGTCTAAAACCAGGTCTAAACTAGGTCTAAACCAGGACTAAACCAGGTCTAAACCAGGACTAAACCAAGACAAAAGCAGGACTAAAACCAGATCCAAACCAGGTCTAAACCAGGTCTAAAACCAGGTCTAAAGCAGGACTAAACCAGGACAAAAGCAGGACTAAAACCAGGTCCAAACCAGGTCTAAACCAGGTCTAAAACCAGGTCTAAACCAGAACTAAACCAGGTCTAAACCAGGACTAAACCAAGACTAAACCAGGTCTAAAACAGGATTTAACAGGACTAAATCATGCTGCGTGGACCGTGGTTCCTCATCTTCTATCAGTAATATTTTTAATACAGTTAAGTAAAGACTGGGTTTTTTTGTCTTTTATCAGACTGTGAAGATCTCCTCGTCTTTGTTGCTCTACAGCAAATCAAGTAATCCAAAGTATTCAGATTACATTACTCACTTTAAGTATTTTAATGGATTACGTTACAAACTACATTTTGGGATATGTAATCTGTAATCTGTAGGGGATTACATTTTAAAAGTCACCTTCCCAACACTGTCTATAGATCAAAAATCAGCATTTATGAATTGACCTTTTGGAGATTTCAATGCAAAACACAATGTTGACATCAATCTAGAATCTTAAAATCACCAATTCTGTTTTAGAATTCAACTGTATTTTTGTTTTTCTTTTTTTTTTTCAACCAAAAACTGCAACTTAACTGATGTAAAACTCTGATAAATATTGACCACAGATAATGTCCACCAAACCAAGTTGGAATTCGAAAAATCATGAAAACAAGTCGTATATGTACATTAAAGGGCCCATATTACACATACAGGTTCTTCTTTCAAACAGAAAACACTCTGTTCTGCCTTGTGACGTCATCATGTGGTGATACAGGAAGTGCTCCTCTGTGTTTTTAAACTCCACACACCTTCACTAGAATCATTTGCAATAATTTCAACCCTTGCCGATCTCTACAGAACTAAAGGCAAAAGGTTATGTCGTTAACTTCAAAACTACCACTTCGTGACATCACAAAGTGGAACAGGGCATTTTGAGCTTTGACGACACAGAGAGACTACTACTGTGCATACGGACAAACTTTTAAAAACGTAAATTTACACCAAAGACAGAACTGCTCCTGTGACACCGGTCTCTGTCTATTCTCACACTTAAACACTTGTTTATGTACCGTATTTCCCACACTATAGGGCGCTCTGGATTATAAAAATTAAATGGTCTATTTTCGAACTTTTTTCACAAATAAACTGCACCGGACTTTAAAGGAAACACAACAGTTGGATGGGTGAGTGGTTTTGTTTGTTTGTGGCGTTCACGGTGACTCTGGGCTTTGTTCAGTTGTGGCGTGTAGGGACTAGGGATGGGCATGATTAATCGATAATTGATCATTAAGAATTTCATCGATTACGTTAATTTTAATCGACAAACCGAATGTAGGTTGCTGTGCGTAGTGTGACCAAACAGGTGTGTACATGTGTCTCTGCATCAGAAGGAGCGAGACACAAACATTCGGTCAGTCTGTAACGAACCGAAGCACAAATGTGTATTTAACAATGATTTGTACAAGAAATTCCACACTTTCCGTTGCGTTCGGGACAAGTGTGAGTCCATGTGCACAGTGTATAAAGCAGGAACATATGTTTCGGTGTCCAGTGGGAAAAAGTTTTACCAGGTGAGAGTCGCTCAATGTCGATGACGAGTCCCCACCTCCCTCCCCCCGTACGGTGTCCTGGTTTTGACAAACGCAAATCTGGTCACACTGACCTGTATTCACCTGAGTCATGTCTTTTAATCCGACAGAAATTGAACCACATCAGTGACACAAGAGCTGTAGTTTTATCTTCACTTAGTTTATGCAAATTAGTGATGCGGTTTTAAGTTTCGTTTCTGTGAGAGTTGCGCTAAACTGAATTAAACACAATATAATCTAAAATGGATTGATGTGGCTCTTGAGTCGTTACGGTTTATATGTCGTAAAGTTGAATGTATTTATGCAGATTAGCAGTGCAGATAGTAATAATAATGATGATCATTTTAATACGTTACACGTTAATGATTAATCGATAATCGATAATTAATTCTTCCGAAGATCGATTAAGAAAATTTCATCGAATGCCCATCTCTAGTAGGGACGGTGCTGTCTGGGACCGCTGGATTGTCAGCGTGTTCGCAGTGAAGTCATGACTTCAAACTCGTCGCATCTGTCTGGGTTCCTTTTGTCGAACAGCGCAACAGTAAACAAAGCGTTGAGATGGATGTAGACGAAGACAGACATTCTGTGTTGGCAACGATTCCCGAGATCGAGGATTTAAAGCCGGAACAAAGAGAATGTTTGGTGAATTTCATCAAGGGGAAAGACGTTATTGTCCTTCTTCCTATTTGGGATTTGGTCCATTACATACGACACGACCAAATAGCAGCGATTGGTTAAATTTAAAAAATGTACCCGCCTACCGTCAAGTGAACAAATCATAATGCTGCGAGGTCAGACAGTTTCTACAAAGTGAAACTGGCTGATGAATCAGGCTAATTTGAGACCTCCTTTATCATGTGAATAAATATTGTGAAAAATATTGAGCTCAAAATTGCCCTTTGACCCTTCTCTCTCAGTTCCTGTGCTCTGCCTTTGTATCATGAGCTTAAAATAAGAAGTCATGCAAAGACAAAGGCAATAACAGTGTATTTGTTTGTGATTTTGTTAAAAAATATACTCAGTTGTTCAGTTGTGTCTAGAAGTGGCACATTGCGCTCGCTTGTTCGGTTCGTTCCTCCGATCCATATTTATTTTGACACCACATGCTGTTTCCTGTCTTGTTCCTGCTTGTGTTGATGCTGCGAAATTAGAACTCCAACCTATTTTGAGTGACGCGTAGGGTAATGACGGCCGTCGGAGTGTAAATTGTCCGACCGGTTAAAATGTTGTTACGCTTTGATGTAAACTGAGGGTTACTCAAATATGTATGACTGAACAAAACACCGCTCCAGGTTTGTTTTTGAGGAGGTAACAACATTATAACGTATCTTAAAGCTCACAAGTGTCCATTTTGTGTAATGTAGGACGTTTTGAACAACATGGAGAGAAGAGAGGTGAGGGAGAACCATGGTTTCACGTACCCAGAACCAGAACTCCGTGCCTGTGCCCGGCGTTGGTCCAACCGGCCGGGGGGATGGTCACCATGTTGTGGGTGAAGTAGTTGAAGATGTCGATGTGGTGCCAGTGGTAGAAGGAGTAAGGCTGTGCCGAGTCCGTGCCCTGTAAGAATCTCAACACAACACCAAGAAATTTCATTTGATAACTTGCTTAAATTATTTTGGAAATGCTGTTCAAGTGACAACATAACACTGTAGAGTCTCTATAGTTTTAACTGAGCTCCTAACTCCTCCTAATCTAATCAAACTCCTAAACTCGACCATGAACACTTGCATTGATCACAGGCTCCTGAAAATCTGTTGTTTAAATCCATTTTGTATTTTTTCATGAGTTTTCAGACTACCTTAAAGGGCCCATTTCATGCAAAATAACTCTTTTCACATTGTATCTTCTGCACGTAAACAAGCACAACTTGGGTTTTGGAACATCCATTACACAATAGTTATGAAATCTTACCGATTTCTTGGAGACAGTCACAGACCAGGAACTATGAAAGTCCGACTATTGCTCCTCCCCCCGCCCGTCCTGAGAAAGCACAGGCTCCGCCCTCCGAACGTGACGTAGACTCTGAGTGAGCCGCCCTTCCTCCGCCATCTCAGGGAGGGAGGGGGAGACAGACGTGCGCCCTGATAGTGGCAAGAATAAACTTTTATTCATCATGGAGATACAGCGCATTCAGCCACATGTGTTAGACCCGGAATCGGACGAGGACTTTGATACGGAAGCCGAGAGGGGTCACAACAAACGCAAACGCCGCAACAAATACAAATGTGACAACACAACAATAAGCCACAACACACCAAAAAAGCCACAACACACCAAAAAAAGCCACAACAGAAATGACCGCAGGACTCTACTTTAATGCAAACGCCACAACACAAACGCAAATGCCACAACGCAAATGCACCAACACATCAAAAAGCCACAACGGAAGTGACCGCGGGACTCTATTTTCCGACGGACCGATCGAGCGGCAAGTGAAGAAGAAGAACTACGACGTGAAACAAATAATGATAAAACAATGAATTACTTTTACTTATGTTTCCAACTTCTCCGTTCCTTTACTTTTCACATTGTAGTTCTTCTTCTTCACTTGCCGCTTGATCGGTCCGTCGGAAAATAGAGTCCCGCGGTCACTTCCGTTGCAGCTTTTTTTGTTGTGTTGTCGCATTTGTATTTGTTGCGGCGTTTGCGTTTGTTGTGACCCCTCTCGGCTTCCATACTTTGAGGTGCACGAAGCTCGAGCACCGCGTCGGCATCAGATGAACATTACTGATTGGTAAAGTATTAATAAACACTAGTAGATAAAATTATTATATCGTCGACACTGCAGTGTAGAACAATGAGCTTATGCTGTCGCTTTTGTTTAGATGTTCACGTGGGAATTGTCAGCTGATGCGGGGTGAATCTGCCGCATCATCGTTGTAGCAGCTTTCAGTTCGTCGTCACGTGGGAGTGTGGCAGAAATACGCTGCAATTTGTTAAAAAAATGCCGAATCAATCTAAAAACCACTTCAGCGACAAATACAAGGCGCACACATTACTTTTAGAAAATAAAAAGCTCTGAAAAGTTGATTTTGCATGAGATGGGCCCTTTAAAACTTTTGTCTGTCGGCTAATGTGCACACTGTCTCACCATGGTAACCGCTGAACATTCTGCCATAGAGAATGCGTGTAGAACAACCCCTGCATGACGTCACTGCAAAGTATAAACTGGTGGTTCTTGACCCCAGAGCAAGTTTTCCTTATTACTCACATTGTACTTTTTGAAATCTCCAAAAGGTAAATTCACAAATGTTGAACCTGATCATTTCTGTTAGTGACTAGTAGGGATGGACATTCGATGAAATTTTCTTAATCAATCATCGGAAGAATTAACGATTGATTATCGATTAATCATTAACGTTTTTATATTAAAATGATCATCATTATTATTACTATCTGCACGACTAATCTGCATAAATAAATTCAACTTTACGACATAAACCGTAACGACTCTAGAGCCACATCAATCCGTTTGAAATTATAATGTGCTTAATTCAATTTTGCGCAACTCTCACAGAAACAAAACTTAAAACCGCATCGCTAAATTGCATAAACTAAGCGAAGATAAAACTACAGCTCTTGTGTCGCTGATGTGGTTCAACTTCTGTCGGATTAAAGGACATGACTCAGGTGAATACAGGTTAGTGTGAACATATTTGTGTTTGTCAAAACCAGGACACCGTACGGGGGGAGGGAGGTGGGGACTCGTCATCGACATTGAGCGACTCTCTCCTGGTAAAACTTTTTCCCACTGGACACCGAAACATGTGTTCCTGCTTTGTTCACTGTGCACATGGCCTCACACTTGTCCCCAACGCAACGGAAAGCCTGAAATTTCTTGTACAAGTCATCGTTAAATATGCATTTGTGCTTCGGTACGTTGCAGACTGACCAACTGTTTCTGTTTGTGTCTCGCTCCTTCTGATGCAGAGACACATGTACAGACCTGTTTGGTCAGGCTACGCACATCAACCTACATTCGGTTTGTCGATTAAAATTAACATAATAGTTGAAATTCTTAATGATCAATTAACGATTAATCGATTAATCATGCCCATCCCTAGTGACTAGAATCATTAACTTGCCATATTCTAGCAGAAACCTGTATTTTTATATATTAAAATATAAATTTTAGCTACCCCCATCTCTATTAAATATTAGTGCTGTATAAAATGTTGTAACGTCATCTGAAACGCAGACTAACTACTCAAGAATATTCGCCGTACCTGTCGTCCAAGTACCCGCCCATCATGTCGTGGGAGATCAGAGTCCTCGCAGGGGAGCGGGACAGGGGCGGGTCTCGGGGGCACAGGGGGACAGTGGACACGTTGAAGGGGTGGGCCTCGCTCCTCTTCCAGGACAGCAGCTCCTCCAGCGTGTGCAGACCCCCGATGATGGGCTCCGTGGTGTCCGGGTCGTAGCATTTGTCTGTCGCAGAATCACAACAAACCACGTGGTGAGCGAGAGGAATGGAGAGATCTGTGTGGAGCTTTCAAGGGAAGCGACTGCAAATCTTGGCCTGTAATGCTTCACAGAACGGCATTATACTCAGTGTTGGGTAGTAACAGATTACATGTACCGGAGTTACATAATCAGAGTACAAATTATGAGTAACTGTATTCAGTTACAGTTACTGTTTCAGTGAGTGGTAATTGGATTACAGTTACTTTGTTGAAATAAATGGATTACACAGCGGTATTTTCCTGTTTTCACATTTTGGGTTATATCCATTTTTTTTTTTTTTCCATGATATTCCACTCATTGCCGGACACTGAACCAGGTCCAAACCAGGTCTAAAACCAGGTCTAAACTCAGGTCTAAAACCAGGACTAAACCAGGACTAAACCAGGTCTAAACCAGGTCTAAACCAGGACTAAACCCAGGTCTAAAACAGGATTTAACAGGACTAAATCATGCTCCATGGACCGTGTCTCCTCCTCTTCTATCAATAATATTTTTTATTTGGTTCAGTAACGTCTGTTTTTTTTATTTTCTTTTATCAGACAAAACATCTTATGTGAAGATTTCCTCGTCTTTGCTTCTCTACAGCAAATCAAGTAATCCAAAGTATTCAGATTACGTTACTCACTTTAAGTAATTTAATGGATTACGTTACAAACTACATTTTGGGGTATGTAATCTGTAATCTGTAGGGGATTACATTTTAAAAGTCACCTTCCCAACACTGATTATACTTACCTATCGCCATGGAAACAAGCAGAAGACAGTAAAAGCCCAAGTTACAGGTTTTTTTTGGAGCAATAAACACCCGTTTTACTCATCACGGTCGTATTTTGTTTCATTCACACATGTTTAAAAAGCAAACCCTGCATTATCAGGCTGCGCTCTCTCAAAAGGAAAACACTGTTCCACCTTGTGATGTCATGTGGTAATACAGGAAGCGCTGCACCGTGTTTTTAAACTCCACACACCTTCACTAGAACCGTTTGGATAATTTCAGCCCTGGAATTACCAATCGTTACTGAATTTAAAGTAAAAGGGAGCTGTTAACTTGAAAACTATTAACTATTTTTACGGAAACTGTGCATATTTCTTATTTTAGTCATTTCCAGATGTCATTATAACCTTACTTTTAATCACGTACCAACCAGCTGATGATTAAGCTTTGAGCATCTGATCTATACTCCCTAATATTCCTGTGCTTCTGTGTATTCTCCTGATCTCTTTTTTTTTTTTCTTTGAGGTGCAGCCCAAGGAAATGCGAGGGTTTAAAAGCAGTGTACTTGGGCTGTTGAGCTGTAACTCCTTCCCTTATTCTTGCAAGAATAATAAAAAACACAAGGACAGCTGTTGGACTCATTACACTATCTAACTGTTAACATTAGGGATGTAACAATAACCGAAACATCGTGATATCGTATCGTCAGAGTTCTCACAATAATATCGTGGACCATCACAATATATCGAATTACAAGTGTTTTTGTTCAAATGAAGAGTTATGGCGCAGTAATAGTTAAAAAAAGACAGAGGGAACTACATCGACCATGATCCTTTGCTCCATTTCAGTGTAAACTACAAGAAGAAATAACAGTTCTAACACTTTTAAGTCTTAGTTCTTTGGATTAAGTCTTGTCAAGGCATTTTAAGAGTTAAAAGTAGCATATTAACAGTTTTGTTAGACGGAAGCCGAGAGGGGTCACAGCAAACGCAAACGCCGCAACAAATACAAATGCGACAACGCAACAAAAAGCCACAACACACCACAAAAAAGCCACAACGAAAGTGACCGCGGGACTCTGTTTTCCGACGGACCGATCAAGCGGCAAGTGAAGAAGAAGAACTACAACGTGAAAAGTAAAGAAACGGAGAAGTTGGAAACGTAAGTAAAAGTAATTTTTTGTTTTATCATTAGTCGTTTCACGTTGTAGTTCTTCTTCTTCACTTGCCGTTTGATCGGTCCGTCAGAAAATAGAGTCCCGCGGTCACTTCCGCTGTGGCTTTTTTTGGTGTCGTGGCTTTTTTTTGGTTTGTTGTGGCTTTTTTTGATGTGTTGTGTATTTTTTTTTTTTGTTGTGGCTTTTTTTGGTGTGTTGTGGCTTTTTTTGGTTTGTCGTGGCTTTTTTGATGTGTTGCGGCTTTTTAATGTGTTGTGGCATTTCTGTTTGTGTTGTGGCGTTTGCATTTGTTGCGGCGTTTGCATTAAAATAGAGTCCCGCGGTCATTTCCGTTGTGGCTTTTTTTGGTGTGTTGTGGCTTTTTTTGGTTTGTTGTGGCTTTTTGTTGTGTTGTCGCATTTGTATTTGTCGCGGCGTTTGCGTTTGTTGTGACCCCTCTCGGCTTCCGTATTCACCAAATATCACAACAAATATCGTACCGTGAGATGTATATCGTGAAAACATCGTACCGAGAGATTTGGATATTGTTGCATCTTTAATCGTGAGCCTCCCCACCATACGTAAATGTTCAAATCTTTTTTCTTCAGATTTCATATTGTAACATAAAGCTTTTGTCACTTAAGATTTGCTCAGAGAAGTACAATTTTATTAAAAGTTGCTCCTTGAAGCACCTCGAATGCCCTGTACGATGTTGTTAGAAACTCGACATGGACGCTATGGACATTACAAATATTTTTCCAGGGCTTTGGGGTTAACTTGGGCGTGGACGCGAAATATAGCAACCCATTTGTGTACATGAATTTGTATGTGTGGTGCACTGGAAATAGAGCGCGATGACGGGACCCACCTGGGAGATGTGAGTCACCGTACTTGACCACTTCATGGACGCTGCCGGAGTCCATGGGCTGGTCCAGGCATGACTCCCTGCACAGAAATACAAGCATTAGATCCAAATATAGGATGATGATGATTGATGCGGTACTGGAAATGCCAAAGTACACACACACACACACACACACAGACATTATGGTCGAGATGGGGGGAACTACACTTTTGCAGGGACTTTCTATGACCGGATTTTGACTTTAACTTTGTACAACTTAAAGTACAGTGGTCAAAAATATCAAAAAATCAGATACTAATTGATTCTAAAACTAGTATCGAAACTAGATCTTCATTTGAGCTGGTATCGATACTGAAAAAGACAGATTCACGGGACTGAAATGAACCTCTGATGATGATTTTGAGCTGTATCAGAACAAGTACGATGGTCAAAAATATCGAAAATCACATACTAATCGATTCTAAAACTAGATCTTCGATTGAGCTGGTATCAATACTCAAAAAACTCACATTCACGGGACAGAAATGAACCTTTGATGATGATTTTGAGCTGTATCAGAACAAATACGGTGCTCAAAAATATCAAAAATCGGGTACTAATCGATTCTCAAACTAGTATCGAAACTAGATCCTCATTTGAGTTAGTATCGATAATGAAAAAAATCACATTTACAGGACAGAAATTAACCCATGATGATGATTTTGAGTTGTATCAGAACAAGTACGGTGGTCAAAATATCGAAAATCAGATACTAATCGATTCTAAAACTAGTATCGAAAGTAGATCCTCATTTGAGCTGGTATCGATACTGAAAAAAGTCACATTCACGGGACAGAAATGAACCTTTGATGATGATTTTGAGCTGTATCAGAACAAGTACGGTGGTCAAAAATATCAAAGATCAGATACTAATTGATTCTAAAACTAGTATCGAAACTAGATCTTCATTTGAGCTGGTATCAATACTGAAAAAGACAGATTCACGGGACTGAAATGAACCTCTGATGATGATTTTGAGCTGTATCAGAACAACTATGATGGTCAAAAATATCGAAAATCACATACTAATCGATTCTAAAACTAGATCTTCGATTGAGCTGGTATCAATACTCAAAAAACTCACATTCACGGGACAGAAATGAACCTTTGATGATGATTTTGAGCTGTATCAGAACAACTATGATGGTCAAAAATATCGAAAATCACATACTAATCGATTCTAAAACTAGATCTTCGTTTGAGCTGGTATCAATACTCAAAAAACTCACATTCACGGGACAGAAATGAACCTTTGATGATGATTTTGAGCTGTATCAGAACAAATACGGTGCTCAAAAATATCAAAAATCGGATACTAATCGATTCTCAAACTAGTATCGAAACTAGATCCTCATTTGAGTTAGTATCGATAATGAAAAAAATCACATTTACAGGACAGAAATGAACCCATGATGATGATTTTGAGTTGTATCAGAACAAGTACGGTGGTCAAAATATCGAAAATCAGATACTAATCCATTCTAAAACTAGTATCGAAAGTAGATCCTCATTTGAGCTGGTATCGATACTGAAAAAAGTCACATTCACGGGACAGAAATGAACCTTTGATGATGATTTTGAGCTGTGTCAGAACAAGTACGGTGGTCAAAAATCAAAAGATCAGATACTAATTGATTCTAAAACTAGTATCGAAACTAGATCTTCATTTAAGCAGGTATTGATACTGCCCTTGGACCACAACGAAACCTACACTGATTATTTTGTTTTGAAAATATACCAACTATACACTGACATTGAAATTATACGAATCAAATAACTAAAATAAATAAAGACATCTAAACTTGCCAAAACTGATTCTGAGAGTCATTTCCACTGAGGAATTACACAAATATAAGGACACATGGGAATAGAAAACAAAGTACTACCATTTAGTGTTGAAAATTGCATCAGAAAGAGTGTTTCTATTATCATTGTGGTGTTGGAATTGGAATTGGTATTTAGTATTGAGTCAAATCCTCAGTACTGAACTCGATTTTGACACTTTAGTAAGTCTATCGCCATACTGGAACATTCCTGGTAAAGCATCACATCTTCCTGGAGACAAGCTCAGAGTAAAACCCTACCAGAAAAGCTACACAGTAAAGAGTAGGGGTGTGCAAAAATATTGAAATATCAATATATCGTATCGTTTAATGTGATACAGTATCGATATAGTGGGCTGCTGTATCGATTTATATCGCCGAGAGTATTTTTTGGTGTATTTTACTAAATTATTTTGTTACAGAGCTACAGTTTTGTTGTTTGTTTACTGGAAGGAAACTCGTTTATGCGACACATTTGACATTTTCACTGTTTTGGTGATAAAAAATTTTGTGTTTCATATGAACTTTACATCAGAAAGTGATTTAACAAAGACTTTTAATATCACAGCCATGATTTAGCCTTTATTTTTTATCTGAACTGTATCGAATCAATTTGAAATATATCGTATCGAATCGTAAGCTCACTGTATCGAGGTATGTATCGTATCAGTAACTTCTGAATGATACCCAGCCCTAGTAAAGACAGTAACAACAATATTTCTAAATATTTTTTGACAGGCAAGTTGGGTTAAATATCAAGATAATATATATCGGTACAAGTATTTTCAAAACAAACTGCTTCAGAATTAGAAAACTAAAAATATTAAACATAAACAGTCCTGCTAAATTTAGTAGTAGTAGCAGTAGTAGTAGTAATAGTAGTTTATTCTGTCATTTTGCAGCACTACAAAACAAAACAAAACATACAACCCCATAAATCATGACCCAAAGTGTTCAGGCTGAAGTAAAAAGTACATATAATTAGTTCTGGGTATCATTAAAAAGTTACCAATACGATACATACCTCAATACAGAGCACTTTTGATTCGATACGATATATTTCAAATCGATTCGATACGGTTCAATAAAAAAATAAAGGCTAAATCATGGCTGTGACACTAAAAGTCTTTGTTAAACCACTTCTTCTTGTGCAAAGTTCATATGAAACACAAACATTTTAATCATCAAAATAGTGAAAATGACAAATGTGTCACATAAACAAGTTTCCTTCCTCTAAACAAGCAACAAAACTGTAGCTCTGTAACAAAATTATTTAGTAAAACATACCAAAATATATTCTTGGCAATATATCGATACAGCAGCCTACGATATCAATACTGTATCATCACATTAAATGATACGATATATCGATATTTTGATATTTTTACACACCCCTACATATAACGCCAAACACTTTTAAACAATGACAGTATTCCAAGAAAGAAAAGCAGCGCATGAACAGCAAGTTTGCATTTACATTTTCACTTACGACTTACTATAAATATAAAAGACAAAATATAAATTAAAACAAACTAAATTTATGCATAATTCATTCATTTCTGAGCTCTATATCTTTCAAAACATAACGCTTATACTGTTTTTTTTAAAGGCTTTTACAGTGTTAGACTTTTTAAAATCACCATCACTCACATTGTTTCACACACTAACCCCTCGAACAGAAATACAATCACTTTTTTTTAGTTCTTATCTTCATTTTTTTAAAGATGCTTGTGCTTCTAAACTTATACTGACTCTCTCTCTGCTCAAATAACTCCTGTAAACAAGGAGGGAGCATAAGATTTTAGGTCTTGTTCATCACTACAGCTGTCTACAACATAAAAAAAATGTTAAACTAAAAAGTATTTTTAGTTTAACAAAAAGAGGATTTGTTGGTACACAGTAATTCGCATGATTAATAATCCTAATAACCTTCTTTTAGAGTATAAAAATGTATTAATATTTAATTTATGAGTATTCCTCCATATTTCCACACAGTAGTTTAAGTATAGTTTAAGTTTAAGAAAGAATAGACTGTTATAAATAATAAAATATAAATATAGACTGCTGTAAATAAAGGGAATTTTGATTTTAAAAGTCAATATAACAAAATTTTTATTTCAGTTCAGTTTAACTAATGACTACAACATATATTAAAGCAATAGAGCATTAAAATAATATAAGTACATAAACAGAATTTGTAAAAGTGTGTGTTTTAATCTCCACATGCTGCATTAGCTACTTCAGAACAGTGTATAAAAGTGTAATACAACCAACCTGCTAGTTTCACTTTTGTTTCTTTTCGCCCCGACGCCATTTTCCTCGTTTTCTTCTTGTCGTTTCTTTCGCGGATGAACTTGTTCTTGTTCTTGCACCTGCTGCGACATTTTATTGCTCTAAAGTGCAGTGTTCATTTAATAAAAACTCTGCAAACACGACTGACTGTGACTGAATGAAAAAGGACGCAGCTGCACCGCCCCGACACTTCCGGTAGTACGACTTTCACAATAAAAGCGCCGAGAAAATAAAATAAAATAAATAAAATAAAATAAATGTTATTTTTTTGTTTTGTTTTGTTTTGTTTAATCTTTCTTCTGTGTCACTTTTTATTCAAACTGATTCAGTTTAAACATCCGCCCCGACACTTTCGGTAGTACGGATTTCACAATAAAAGCGCCGAGAAAATGAAATAAAATAAAATAAATAAAATAAAATAAATGTTTTTTTTTGTTTTGTTTTTTTTGTTTAATCTTTCTTCTGTATTACTTTTTTTCCCAAATTGATTCAGTTTAAACATCCGCCCCGACACTTCCGGTAGTACGGATTTCACAATAAAAGCGCCGCGAAAATTAAATAAAATAAAATAAATATTCCTTTTTTTTTGTTTGTTTGTTTGTTTGTTCGTTGTTGTTTTTTTTTCTTTAATCTTTGTTCTGTATCACTTTTTATTCAAATTGATTCAGTTTAAACATCCGCCCTGACACTTCCGGTAGTACGGATTTCACGATAAAAGCGTCGAGAAAATTTAATAAAATAAATGTTCTTTTTCTTGTTTTGTTTTCTATAATCTTTCTTCTGTGTCACTTTTTACTCAAATTGATTCAGTTTAAACATTAACTAACAAATTAATGGGAGAGATTGAGATATGAGGTGTCATGAAATCCTCAAAAATTTCAGAAGCATTTCTAGAGCAGTTTCAGAAAAAATTCTAGAGCATTTGAATCTGTAGTCAACCCCTGAAAAAGAATGTATTAATGTTGTCAAATGATGTAACTGCTGAGATTTATACTCAGTAATTTTTTTGAATATATTTACTCCATTGAGTGTCTGTATATTGTTTTATTTTTTATTTATTTTTGTTTTTTCCTCTATTCTATTTTATTTTATTATTATTATTTTTATGCTATTATTTTACTACTTTGCGTACATATTTTTTGTTGTTGTGTAAGTCACGTAGATTTTTTTAATTAAAATTTTTAAAGTTTTATTTTTGTTTATTTAATTTATATTTATTTATTTATTTCATGAATGTGATGCTTAAAATGCATTATTTGGCGCCAACAATAAGCTTGTCCTTGTCATTGTTTTTATTTTATTTTTTATTTTATATTTTTATTTATTTATTTATTTCTCTTATGTTCTAAACTGAAAATGTCAATAAAGTAAAAAAAAAAACAACAAAAAAACACGAACTAGCAAATATTTAGAACACTCGGACAAATACGTAAATACGTGAAGATTTTTCAATAGTTTAACCTACGTGTTTGAGAAAAAAAAAATAGAAGCGTGCATTTTGGTTGCAGTCTTTTGGTAACACTCTTTTCTAACTTAGCGCATGAAAATTCGGAATATCTGAAATTCCTTCTTTCTTCTTGCTCGTTCTTCAGTCTAAATAATGAAGTCAAAGGGCGACCGGGAAGGGCAGCGGACAAAGGAACCCGTTTGCTCTTTTGTTGTGCGCATGTCCAGAGACTAGACCACCGAGGAGATCACCACTAAACACAAACAGAAAGAAAAGGAAAGAAAAGGGGAATTAATGTTATTTAGATTGCTTGAAACATATATTAGAAATGAGTGTTGCAAAAGTATATATTGTATTGTTATTACATGTGGCATAAGTGTATATATTCTTCTTAAACTGCATTGTAGCTGTATTGAAATAGGCCACATTCCCAGGGGACGGGGTTAGGCTCGGGTGAGCAGACAGGCCCAGTTTTGAGCCCTGTGTCTCCTATCCCATCATATTTATACAAAAAAAAAACAGTGATTTGTTCCAGTTTTATATAAGAAATGCCCCAGGTGTCCCTATTTTTGACCAATTTGATCAAAACCAGGTCTAAACTAAGACTAAACCAGGACTACATCAGGTCTAAACCAGGACGAAAACAATTTTTAGTCGCAAGTTTGGAATAATCTGGTCCCTGCCAACGCTAAAGAGGAGCATAAATTGTAATTTGTTAAGTTAAAATATAGAAAATCTGCTTTAAAATTACCAAAACACAAAGAAAATGCGACACTCGTTTCACAGTTTTATAATTAACAACCACAGAATAACTGCGGATGTCCCAGTTTTATACAAGAAATGTCCCTGGTGTCCCAATTTTTGACCAATTTGATCAAAACCAGGACTACATCAGCTCTAAACCAGGATGAAAACAATTTTTGGTTGCAAAATCAGACTAAACTGAGACTAAACTTAAAATACTTAAATAACTTAAAATAAAATACTGAAAATCTGCTTTAAAATTACTAAAACACAAAGAAAAAGTAACTATACTCACTTAAATATTAGTCATGAATGGTCTCAGCATAACAATTTTCCTTTATTTTGCACTTGTTTCACAACCACCGAATAACTGCGGATGTCCCAGTTTTAGATAAATAATGTCCCTGCTGTTCCAATTTTTTGATCAATTTGATCTAAACTAGGACTAAACTAAAACTAAACCAGAACTACATCAACTCAAAACCAGAACTAAAACTATTTTTAGTCACAATTTCTGACTAATCTGATCCCTGCCAACACTAAAGAGGAGCATAAATTGTAATTTGTTTAGGTAAAATACTGAAAATCACTTTAAAAGTGACCAAAACACAAAGAAAATGCGACACTTGTTTCACAATTTTATTATTAACAACCACCAAATAACTGCGGATGTCCCAGTTTTATACAAGAAATGTCGCTGGTGTCCCAATTTTTGACCAGTTTGATTTAAACCAGGACTAAACTAAGACTAAACCAGGACTGCATCAGGTCTAATGCAGGACTAAAACAATTTTTAGTCGCAATTTTTGACTAATCTGGTCCCTGCTGACACTAAAGAGGAACATAAATTGTCATTTGTTAAGATAAAATACTAAAAATCTGCTTTAGAATGACCAAAACACAAAGAAAATGCAGCACTCGTTTCACAATTTTATTAATAACAACCACCAAATAACTGCGGATGTCACAGTTTTATACAAATAATGTCCCTGCTGTTCCAATTTTTGACCAATTTGATCAAAACCAGGACTACATCAGCTCTAAACCAGACGAAAACAATTTTTGGTTGCAATTTTTGACTAAACTGATCCCTGCCAACACTAAAGAGGAGCATAAATTGTAATTTGTTAAGTTAAAATATAGAAAATCCGCTTAAAAGTGACCAAAACACAAAAGAAATGTAATTATACTCACTTATATGTTAGTCATGCAACAATCTTGTGAACAATTTTGCTGAATTTCACACTCATTTCACAATTTTATTATTAACAACCACAAGATGTCCTAGTTTTATATAAGAAATGTCCCTACTGTTCCATTTTTTGACCAATTTGAGCTAAACCAGGACTAAACTATAAAGACAACAACAGGATTCTGATCATTTTTGAATAATCTGATACCTGAGAGAGAAAAGAGGAGCAGAAATTGTCGTTTGTTTCGCCAAAATACAGAAATCCGTGCTTGTGAACCATAAAGCAAAAAAATGCAGCAACAGAAGTCCCCCAGATTATGACCGACATGAAAACGCACAATGTTACACGCTCTTTTCACAGTTTTATTTACACCAAGCGGAGGAACAAAGAGAGCCTCCTTCATTCAGTCACGTTTTGTTTACGTTATTGTGAGGGACGGAGGCCTGCAGTCGCCCGGGGCCTGAGGTGGGGGACACGGTGAAGCTCGTGCTGATGGACAAACGTTTATTTTGACATTGTGAGTCACTATGAAAGTCTGTAGTCTTTTGTGAGCCTTTTATCGAGGTGTTATGTTGTCTCCACCACTGGCATTGCTGTTGTGTGCTTGTGTACTGTTACTGTTAGGATAAATAACTAGGTTTAGCTGTTTTGTTTAGCCACTTTAATAGTTCATTATTGCGCTCTGGCTCTGATAGACACAGCTGTGAGGCTCATAGGTAGGGCTGGGTGTCATTAAGAAGTTGCCGATACGATGCATACCTTGATACAGTGCACTTAAAATGTAAAGCCTAAATCATGGTTGTGATACTAAAAGTCTTTGTTAAACCACTTCTTCGTGCAAATTGAATATGAAAAAAGCCAATTTTAATCATCAAAACTGTGAAAATGTCAAATGTGTCGCAGTTTTCTTCCTCTAAGCAACAAAACCGTAACCGTAGCCGTAACAAAATAATTTCATAAAATACACAAAAAAATACTCTTGGTGATATATCGATACAGCAGCCCAGGATATCGATACTGTATCATGACATTAAATTATATTTTTGCACACCCCTACTCAATACAGTGCACTTTCGATTTGATATGATATATTTCAAATCGATTCGATACCGTTCAATAAAATATAAATGCTAAATCGTGGCTGTGACACTAAAAGTCTTTGTTAAACTACTTTTTGTGCAACTTAATCATCAAAACAGTGAAAATGTCAAATGTGTTGCATAAACGAGTTTCCTCCGTCTAGAAAAGCAACAAAACTGTAGCTGCAACAAAATAATTTTGTAAAATATACCAAAAAATACTCTTGGAGATATATCGATACAGCAGCCCATGATATATCGATACTGTATCATCACATTAAACTATACGATATATCGATATTTTTGCACAACCCTACTTAAAAACACTGCATTTTCAGTCCGACATGATATATTTCAAATCAATTTAATATGGTTCAGTAAAAATAAAATCTAAATCATGGTTGTGATAGTAAAAGTCTTTGTTAAACTTCTTCTTGTGCAAAGTTAATATGAAACACAAACGTTTTAATCATCAAAACTGTGAAAATGTCAAATGTGTCGCAGTTTTTTTCCTCTTAACAAACAACAAAACTGTAACTGTAACAAAATAATTTAGTAAAATATACAAAAATAAATATCTTGGTGATATATCGATACAGCAGCCCACGATATCGATACTGTATCATCACATTAAACTATACGATATACCGATATTTCAACATTTTTGCACACCTCTACTCGTAGATTTACAGTTTGTCAGGACAAATGCGTGACATTCT